TTGCCCTCAGACGTGACATCTCCACTGCCTCCAGCCTTCTCCTCGCTGCAACATTCATCACCCATGCTTCACACCCATATAAGAGCATTGGTAAAACTATACTCTCATACATTCCCCTCTTTGCCTCTAAGGACAAAGTTCTTTGTCTCCACAGACTCCTAAGTGCACCACTCACCCTTTTCCCCTCATCAATTCTATGATTCACCTCATCTTTCATAGACCCATCCGCTGACACGTCCACTCCCAAATATCTGAATACATTCACCTCCTCCATACTCTCTCCCTCTAATCTGATATCCAATCTTTCATCACCTAATCTTTTTGTTATCCACATAACCTTACTCTTTCCTGTATTCACTTTTAATTTTCTTCTTTTGCATACCCTACCAAATTCATCCACCAATCTCTGCAACTTCTCTTCAGAATCTCCCAAGAGCACAGTGTCATCAGCAAAGAGCAACTGTGACAACTCCCACTTTATGTGTGATTCTTTATCTTTTAACTCCATGGCTCTTGCCAAGACCCTCGCATTTACTTCTCTTACAACCCCATCTATAAATATATTAAACAACCATGGTGACATCACACATCCTTGTCTAAGGCCTACTTTTACTGGGAAATAATTTCCCTCTTTCCTACATACTCTAACTTGAGCCTCACTATCCTCGTAAAAACTCTTCACTGCTTTCAGTAACCTACCTTCTACACCATACACCTGCAACATCTGCCACATTGCCCCCCTATCCACCCTGTCATACGCCTTTTCCAAATCCATAAATGCCACAAAGACCTCTTTAGCCTTATCTAAATACTGTTCACTTATGTGTTTCACTGTAAACACCTGGTCCACACACATCCCTACCTTTCCTAAAGCCTCCTTGTTCATCTGCTATCCTATTCTCCATCTTACTCTTAATTCTTTCAATAATAACTCTACCATACACTTTACCAGGTATACTCAACAAACTTATCCCCCTATAATTTTTGCACTCTCTTTTATCCCCTTTGCCTTTATACAAAGGAACTATGCATGCTCTCTGCCAATCCCTAGGTACCTTACCCTCTTCCATACATTTATTAAATAATTGCACCAACCACTCCAAAACTATATCCCCACCTGCTTTAAACATTTCTATCTTTATCCATCAATCCGGCTGCCTTACCCCCTTTCATTTTACCTACTGCCTCACGAACTTCCCCCACACTCACAACTGGCTCTTCCTCACTCCTACAAGATGTTATTCCTCATTGCCCTATACACGAAATCACAGCTTCCCTATCTTCATCAACATTTATCAATTCCTCAAAATATTCCCTCCATCTTCCCAATACCTCTAACTCTCCATTTAACAACTCTCCTCTCCTATTTTTAATTGTCAAATCCATTTGTTCTCTAGGCTTCCTTAACTTGTTAATCTCACTCCAAAACTTTTTCTTATTTTCAACAAAATTTGTTGATAACATCTCACCTACTCTCTCATTTGCTCTTTTTTTACATTGCTTCACCACTCTCTTAACCCTTTCAGGGTCCGTCCCGTAGATCTACGGCTTTACGTTCAGGGTCCAAACCGTAGATCTACGCCATGAGCTCAGCTCACTCTGATAAACTGTGAGTGGTACATTTGGGCCTAGATATGAGAGAATACATCTATGTGGTATGTGTGCACCACATAAAACAGATCCTGCAGCACACTGTGTATAATGAGAGAAAAAAACTTAAATCATGATTTTTCGATTAAAACAGCAACTTTGCAGTGTTTTTTCGTATGTTTTTAATAGTTGTATTTGCGATTTCTTGGTCTCATTTGATAGAATGGAAGACATATTACAGAAATAGAGATGATTTTGATTGGTTTTAGCACTGGAAATGGCTTGAAACTGAGCTCAAAGTAGCGGAAATGTTAAATTTTTGCCGATATTCAAGAGTAAACAAACGACCTCACACGTCTAATACACAACAGCTGGTGGGTCTAATATACATTCACAAATATGGTGATGATATTTATACAATTATTACAGTATTGCATAACAGTAAATCTTCTATTTTTTGGTGTGAATAAAAATTCATTATGTGAATAAAAAATCAAAATGGAATTTATTTGTAAAGCCTCAAAACATAACTAATGAACAGGGGAAACGTTAGTTTAGTGCCAGGAATGCCTACATTGTTTATTCTGGACCCTATTTTGAAATTGGAATATTTTGAACTTTGTGTTAAATTGGCCAAATTAACAATTTCCGATCACTTTATTTTGTAGTTGAAACAGTTGACTTGGCGATTTCTTGTGCTCAATCGATAGAATAGAAGTAATACTAGTGAAATAGCTAAGAATTTGGTTGATTGGAATAATGTAATTGGCCTAAAATGGGAGTCAAAGTCGGCAAAATCGCCGATTCGTAAATGTCGCTGACACATCAAAATTCGCGAGAGCATAATTTCGTCAATTTTCCACCAAATTTCGTACTTTTTGTTTTATTACCTTCACAAAAAGATTCTCTACGATTTCATAAGAAAAAATAACAATTTTTTTTTTTTGAAAATTCTTGGACACTGGTGCGTGACTCCAGATTTGGGCCTTGGACCCTGAAAGGGTTAACCTCTCTCTTTTTCTCCATATACTCTTCCCTCCTTGCATCACTTCTACTTTGTAAAAACTTCTCATATGCTAACTTTTTCTCCCTTACTACTCTCTTTACATCATCATTCCACCAATCGCTCCTCTTCCCTCCCCCACCCACTTTTCTGTAACCACAAACTTCTGCTGAACACTCTAACACTACATTTTTAAACCTACCCCATACCTCTTCGACCCCATTGCCTATGCTCTCATTAGCCCATCTATCCTCCAATAGCTGTTTATATCTTACCCTAACTGCCTCCTCTTTTAGTTTATAAACCTTCACCTCTCTCTTCTCTGATGCTTCTATTCTCCTTGTATCCCATCTACCTTTTACTCTCAGTGTAGCTACAACTAGAAAGTGATCTGATATATCTGTGGCCCCTCTATAAACATGTACATCCTGAAGTTACTCAACAGTCTTTTATCTACCAATACATAATCCAACAAACTACTGTCATTTCGCCCTACATCATATCTTGTATACTTATTTATCCTTTTTTCTTAAAATATGTATTACCTATAACTAAACCCCTTTCTATACAAAGTTCAATCAAAGGGCTCCCATTATCATTTACACCTGGCACCCCAAACTTACCTACCACACCCTCTCTAAAAGTTTCTCCTACTTTAGCATTCAGGTCCCCTACCACAATTACTCTCTCACTTGGTTCAAAGGCTCCTATACATTCACTTAACATCTCCCAAAATCTCTCTCTCTCCTCTACATTCCTCTCTTCTCCAGGTGCATACACGCTTATTATGACCCACTTTTCGCATCCAACCTTCACTTTAATCCACATAATTCTTGAATTTACACATTCATATTCTCTTTTCTCCTTCCATAACTGATCCTTCAACATTACTGCTACCCCTTCCTTTGCTCTAACTCTCTCATATACTCCAGATTTAATCCCATTTATTTCCCCCCACCGTAACTCCCCCACCGTAACTCCCCTACCCCCTTCAGCTTTGTTTCGCTTAGGGCCAGGACATCCAACTTCTTTTCATTCATAACATCAGCAATCATCTGTTTCTTGTCATCCGCACTACATCCACGCACATTCAAGCATCCCAGTTTTATAAAGTTTTTCTTCTTCTCTTTTTTTAGTAAATGTCTACAGGAGAAGGGGTTACTAGCCCATTGCTCCCGGCATTTTAGTGCCTCATACGACACGCATGGCTTACGGAGGAAAGATTCTTTTCCACTTCCTCATGGACAATAGAAGAAATAAAGAAGAACAAGAGCTATTTAGAAAAAGGAGAAAAACCTAGATGTATGTATATATATATATGCATGTGCGTGTCTGTGAAGTGTGACCAAAGTGTAAGTAGGAGTATCAAGATATCCCTGTTATCTAGCGTGTTTATGAGACAGAAAAAGAAACCAGCAATCCTACCATCATGCAAAACAGTTACAGGTTTCTGTTTCACAGTCATCTGGCAGGAAGGTAGTACTTCCCTGGGTGGTTGCTGTCTACCAACCTACTATATATACATGTATATATATATATATATTCTAGGTAGTAGGTTGGTAGACAGGAACCACCCAGGGAGGTACTACCGTCCTGCCAAGTGAGTGTAAAACGAAAGCCTGTGACTGTTTTACATGATGGTAGGATTGCTAGTGTCCTTTTTCTCTGTCTCATAAACATGCAACATTTCAGGTACGTCTTACTACTTCTACTTGCACTTAGGTCACACTACACATACATGTACAAGCATATATATACACACACCCCTCTGGGTTTTCTGCTATTTTCTTTCTAGTTCTTGCTCTTGTTTATTTCCTCTTACCTCCATTGGGAAGTGGAACAGGATTCTTCCTCCGTAAGCCATGCGTGTTGTAAGAGGCGACTAAAATGCCGGGAGCAAGGGGCTAGTAACCCCTTCTCCTGTATAAATTACTGAATTTAAAAAGAGAAACTTTTGTTTTTCTTTTTGGGCCACCCTGCCTCAGTGGGATACGGCCGGTTTGTTGAAAGAAGAAGAATCTTTATTTCTACAAATACATGCATAAGGTATACAGGCCTAGCTGACATCAATAACACACTACTATATAGAAAGCCCCTTATTATGCAGAACATTTCGGGCTAATTAGGTCAGTTTTGTCCCCAGGATGCTACCCACACCAGTTGACTAACATTCAGGTACCTATTTTATTGATAGATGAACAGGTGCCTTAAGGAAACATGTCCTAATGTTTTAACCCATACCGGGGATCAACCCCCAAACCTCAGTGTGTGAGCTGAGTGCACTAGCATCAAGTTACAGGACACCAGCATCACATTCATACAGTATATCTTTCAGCTGCAAAGGTACCTGAAATATATCTACCTATTGTACATCACCTTACCTTTTGCTTATTCACTATTAACTTACCCGTTTCATTATTATAGCATGTGAAATGAAGTGCACCGGAGAAAAGCTCCAAACCAATGATGGCATAGATGATGATGACAAACATAACAAGAAGAGCAATGTTGAGCAGTGGGACCATAGCCTTCAGAATAGAGTTTAACACCACCTGCAGACCTGTAACAAGGCAAGAGCTATGATAATGGTTTGCATCATAATGATGGTTTCAATAGGGTTAATGGCAACAGCAATGATATTAAAGTTGAAACTGAAAATCAGTTTTAATGAGTAACACAATTAACAAGGTATGTTTACATATGTTCTCCATGGGGAAATGGAACAGAATTCTTCCTCCGTAAGCCATGCGTGTTGTAAGAGGCGACTAAAATGCCGGGAGCAAGGGGCTAGTAACCCAATTTCCTGTATACATTACTAGAGTTAAAAAGAGAAACTTTTCTTTTTCTTTTTGGAACACCCTGCCTCAGTGGGATATGGCCAGTTTGTTGAAAGAAAAAAAGTTTACATACGTATAAAGAGACTGTATTAGTTCCTAAGTGATATAAAATTACTTATAAAAATTCATCTCTGATAGTTTTACACACCTGAGACAAAAAGAAAAAATATAAGATTACCTAGTGTTTTGTGTCTGATATTCCATATGATACTTAAGTGTCATACTGATGGCATCAGTGACCTGATAAAGTGGAACCTCGGTTTTCGCAATTAATTCATTCCAGAAAGTCCGACGAAAACCGAATTCGATGAAAACTGAAGCAATATTTCCTATAAGAAATAATGTAAGTCCAATTAATCCGTTCCATACACCCAAAAGTATTAACAAAAAATATATTTTATAGAGAATAACTATAGTTTTCAAGGGGCTAGTAACCCCTTCTCCTGTATATATTACTATGGCAATATAAACACAAATGCAGTATAATGTGATCCTTTATTGACTACGTTTCGCCCACACAGTGGGCTTTTTCAAGTCACAAACAGAACTACCTGGGGTGGAAGGAACGCGAGTATTTATAGTCCGGCTGAGGTCAGGTGAAGAATGCTGCATCTGATGATGTACCGAGTTGGGTTGTAGAGTCTAAAAACTTGGGTAGCTTGGAAAGGAGACTGGACAAGTTTGTGAGCAGACCTTCTACAGTGTTCTTATGTGGGATAGCGATGAAGAAGTTTCTTGGCAAGTGGTTCAGCTATGTTATAGAAGCCACTATTCTGGTTGAAGTTGTCGGATATAGAAATAAGTGATGATTCCAGGATTCTTCGGTATTGAGTGTTGTCTTCTGTGGCGATAAGTCTTGAGTTTCTGTAGTTTATCAACCAGAATAGTGGCTTCTATAACATAGCTGAACCACTTGCCAAGAAACTTCTTCATCGCTATCCCACATAAGAACACTGTAGAAGGTCTGCTCACAAACTTGTCCAGTCTCCTTTCCAAGCTACCCAAGTTTTTAGACTCTACAACCCAACTCGGTACATCATCAGATGCAGCATTCTTCACCTGACCTCAGCCGGACTATAAATACTCGCGTTCCTTCCACCCCAGGTAGTTCTGTTTGTGACTTGAAAAAGCCCACTGTGTGGGCGAAACGTAGTCAATAAAGGATCACATTATACTGCATTTGTGTTTATATTGCCATTGTGTCGGTATTTTATACCATTTATTTCCATCGTATATATTACTAAATGTAAAAGGAGAAACTTTCGTTTTTCCTTTTGAGCCACCACGCCTCGGTGGGATACGGCCGGTGTGTTGAAAGAAGAACTATAGTTTTACATACAGAAAACAATGAGAAATAAATATAAAGGAATAATGAAATGGATAAATGAACATTTAACATCACTTTTACCTTTACTGAAGACTCTTGTTGGCGTATGGAAGACGGTGAAGAGGGGAGAGGGAATCTCTACCACCATCACTACCACCCTCTACCACCATCACAACCACTACTACCCTCTACCACCATCACTACCACCCTCTACCACCATCACCACCATCACTACCACCATCACCACCACCCTCTACTAACTATAAACAGCCAGACTGACTCTGAACACATGAGATGCTTTGTGTGGGCGTGGGCAGACACGTTCAGTATGGCGGACCACTGTCAACTCGACGAAAACTGAGGTGATGAATGAAAACTGGGACAAAATTTTGACAAAAAAAAATTGTCAAAATCCAAATTCAACAAAAACTAGGGCAAACAAAAACCAAGGTTCCACTGTACTTCCTGGAAATTTTTCACAGAACACACTAGCAATACACTTGAAACAAATGCTTCATTGATATCCTTCATACAAATAAAAGGTCCAAAAGTGGGGAACAATTTGCTAGATGAATTGAGAATTTGTAACTTTCTGAATGAATTCAAAGAAAACTTGAAAAAAAGTGTGCTTAATGTATTTCTCGGAAAATTTTTTGAATGTAACCCCTTAAACTGCCAGTATACTTTTACATCCAAGATAAAAATTATACTATGCTCCTGCTTTTATTAATTATCCTTCTTCTTTCAACAAACTGGCAGTATCCCACCCAAACAGGGTGATCCAAAAAGAAAAACAAAACTTTCTCTTTTTAACTTTAAAAAGAGAAGGGGTTACTAGCCCCTTTCTCCCAGCATTTTAATTGCCTCTTATACAATACAATTTTCATTTCTTTGCAAGTTTCCATCGAGATTCTGTAGTTACAATAATGATTTGCAATGCAAAGAGAGCCACTATCATGCCACGGCATTATGGGCAGACTAAATTAATGGCTTACAGATTACTTAATACTACTAGAGAAACTGATCACCGTTTAAGTCGTACATCTGTTTTTATTTAAAGCAGACAGTAAGTTAACTTTAGTTACAATCTGGAGATATTACATTAGGACAATTTGAAAGTATTCTGAAGGTTATGTATATCAAGAGTAAATCTTTCAACACTTTCAACACACCGGCCGTATCCCACAGAGGCAGGGTGGCCCAAAAGGAAACACGAAAGTTTCTCCTTTTACATTTAGTAATATATATAGGAGAAGGGGTTACTAGCCCCTTGCTCCTGGCATTTTAGTCACCTCTTACAACACACATAGCTTACGGAGGAAGAATTCTGTTCCACTTCCCCATGGAGATGAGAGGAAATAAACAAGAACAAGAACTAGTAAGAAAATAGAAGAAAACCCAGAGGGGTGTGTATATATATGCTTGTACATGCATGTGTAGTGTGACCAAAGAGTAAGCAGAAGTAGCAAGACATACCTGAAATCTTGCATGTTTATGAAACAGAAAAAAGATAACAATCCTACAATTGTGTAAAACAACTACAGGTTTCCATTTTACACTCACTTGGTAGGACAGTAGTACCTCCCTGGGCAGCTGCTGTCTATCAACCTACTACAGGTGCACATCCTTTTATCCGAAACCCTTGGGGCCTGTATTGTTTTGAATTTCAGACTTTTTCGAATTTCAGAAGGATTCTCAACGCTGCCATGTGGCGGCGTGACCCAGCATGGAGATGACTGATGCTCTACACTCCACAAAAAAAAAAAAAAACTTCGGTTTTCGGAACTTTTCAATTTCAGAATTTTGGACAGAGATTTGGACCTGTACATAGGTTTTATTAATAGGTTTTATTGATGGGGAGTAACGCTGCAGATGTTGCAAGCACATAGGTAGTAAGTTACTAAATGCTGTAAAGAGTTTTTATGAGGAAAGCGAGGCTCAGGTTAGGGTGTGAAGGAGACAGGGAGATTACTTCCCAGTAAAAGAAAGTCTAAGACAGGGATGTGTAATGTCACCATGGTTGTTTAATATATTAATAGATGGGGTTGTAAAAGAAGTAAATGCTAGGGTGTTGGGGAGAGGAGTGGGATTAAATTAAGGGTAATCAAGTACAAAATGGAAATTTGACACAGTTACTTTTTGCTGATGATACTGTGCTTATGGGAGATTCTAAAGAAAAGTTACATAGTAGGCGAGTTTGGGAGGGTGTGTAAAAGTAGAAAGTTTTTCAACATAGATAAGAGCAAGGTGATGAGGGTATCAAATGATTTAGATAAAGAAAAATTGGATATCACATTGGAGAGAGGGAGTATGGAAGAAGTGAATGTTTTCAGACATTTGGGATTGACTTGTCAGCAGATGGGTTTATGAAGGATGAGGTTAACCATAGAATTGATGAAGCAAAAAAGGTGAGTGGTGTGTTGAGGTATATGTGGAGACAAAAAGACATTATCTATGGAGGCAAAGAAGGTAATGTATGAAAGTATAGTGGTACCAACACACTTACATGGGTGTGACACATGGGTTGTAAATGCTACAGCGAGGTGGCAGCTGGAGATGTTCTCTCTAAGGGCAATGTGTGGTGCAAATATGATGCAGAGAATTTGTAGTGTGAAAATTAGGTGGTGTGTAGTTACTAAAAGCATTAGTCAGAGGGCTGAAGATGGGTTGTTGAGGTGGTTTGATCATTTAGAGAGAATGGATCAAAGCAGAATGACTTTGAGAGCATATAAATCTGTAGGGGAAGGAAGGCGGGGTAGGGGCCATCCTCAAAAAGGTTGAAGGGAGGGGGGTAAAGGTTGTTTAGTGGGCGAGGGACTTGCACTTCTAGCAAGCGCGTGCGAGCGTGTTAGATGGGAGTAAATGGAGATGAATGGTTTTTGGTCCCTGATAAGCTGTTGGAGTGTGAGCAGGGTGATATTTGGTGAAGGGATTCAGGGAAAGTGGTTATTATAGATTTAGCCAGACCTGAGTCCTGGAAATGGGAAGTACAATGCCTGCACTTTAAAGGAGGGGTCTGGTATATTGACAGTTTGATGGGACTTCTAAACTGTCGTATCTCAGTGCCTCTGCAAAGACAGTGATTATGTATGAGTGTGGTGAAAGTTTTGAATGATGATGAAAGTATTTTCTTTTTGGGTATTTTCTTTTTTTTTGGATCACCCTGCCTCGGTGGGAGATGGCCGACTTGTTGAGGAGAAAAAAAAAATACATCTTTATTTGCTTGTAATTTCCTTAGATTAAGTTTCATTTTAACACATGCTCAAAATCATAATTATCAAACAAATGAGCTCCTTCAGGCACTTCATTAAATGCTCAATTTTCACTAAAATTTGTACAGATATTACAATATGTATTTTATATTTTAATGTCCTACATTCATATAGTGACCAATATATTCTGTTTTTACAGTTAGTATTAGCCTTACTGCCCAAAATGTTATACATAACTCTGGGGTTTTCTCTGCTCTAGTGTATACATTCCAAGTATAATATAGCACTTTGAGGTATTCACAGTAGCTTAAATGTTTCATTGGCTCTATGTGGTCAGTAAACACACACTACCTTTTCCAGCTTTGACAGAACGGAGCTGTTAACACAATATTCTAAATGCGAGAGCCCAAGCGATAAGTGTCACCACTGGCATTATTGCTCTTGCTTTAAAAGTTCTCAGTACCCACCCTATAATTTTTCTGGCCTTTGTAGAATTTGCTTTACTGTGTTCTCTAAAAGACATCTTCTGACATTTTGCATAATGCTTCTTATGAATACAGTCTCTCCTCACTTAGCGACGTACTCGTTTATCGACGCCTCGGACTTACGACAGACCCTCTGGCCAGTATCATACCTAAATAATGCATATCAGAGCTGATCTCCTCTATTCTGTTTATTACAATATACAGTACACTGCTGTATAAACATTTAAAAATATACCAAAAATGTTATAAATGGTGTAAAGGTGACATTAAAACAATATCAGAGATGGCTGACACAAACTCACTACCATTATAGTATGCTCCTCACTTAACGACAAATTCGTTTAACAAACGTGGTCTTAGGAATGGAACTCCATCGTTAAGTGAGGCGAGGTTGTACTTCCGTCTCTCCATATCTGAGCAATTAGAATTTGTCACCAATGAACATCATGTTATATTCTATTGCCCACTGGAAGACTCAAAATCTGCTTGCAAATTTTCTGTGTCTTTTACGTCTGAAACTAATGATTTCTTAATGTTTCATTTGGTTATGCAAGAGTATATTTTCTTGTGTATGAATTTCATAAATATTTCTGAAAGCACGGGTAGATTTCATGTTACCCACAGCTGTCTGTCAGATGGCTCTCTCATTTTTGTGGACTCATAAACTGATGCTTCTTAGTCTGAATAGGTATGAGGTTCTGAATTCTAGTGAACTGTTCAAGAATATTGCAACAGCTGGATATAGGACTTACTTGGGACACCGGAGACAAGTCTGAGGGGACGCAGGACTCTGAAGGCTCTAAGGGCCTTCACATCAAACCCCGCCTCCCCTCCTTCCCCCTGCATCAGGAAGTCCAATGCCCCACTCACCAACCTGCCAAAAGCACGACATTTCATAACGCTGCTGATGCAAGTGTGGAAAATATTTTGTTACGTTACACAGTATTTTCAATACACTGCATAGGTACATAATATTAGTTGTAAGGAATATCAAGTTCCAATTATGTTAATATATGTATGATCCCTTATATAAGATTTATTTAAAATATGTATATGAGAGAAATTTATTTTAGACATACAGTACACTGGAATAAATTAATGTGTGGACATGGCCTACATGACAGAATTAATGAAGACTTAGGTCAAGGCTATAATTAAATAGCCAACAAAATGCATTACTGAAATTTACATCATTTAGTAAATTAATATATTTAATTATCAACAAGTCTAAGATATGAAATACATTTAAAATAACAAACTAAGTAAAATCTGAGATATTGCAGTTTTCCATTTATATGAATGACTTGAAAGAAGGGCTTAAGAATAACTTGAGCATACTGCATTTTCATAAAAAACTGCATCCCTAGGAAACGGTCTGGACAGAGTAAACAGGTGGAATGAGACATGAATAATGGGATTTACTTGGATAGATGCCATATTATAGAAATGAGTGGAATTTAAAATATTCCCACAGAATACAAACTGTTCAAAGTAAACTGAACCAAAAAAAATGCCCAGAAAGATCAATTTGTCTTTTTCCTGGAATGAAGATGTAGTGTGAAGAACATATTCTGACTGGGAGTTTTAGTTTAATATCCGTATTATGCACCCCATACCCATCCTGTGGGCGGCAGTCAAAGGATTACAGAGGTACATAATGCACCCAGGGACTGGGCCCCAAAGCTTTGATAGCTGAACAAGGGAGAAAGGTAGTGAATCATCTACACGTCTATACATGGTTACAATCATGAACAAATTATAATGTAATGAGCAATTCACACGTCTACACCTGGTCACAACTGTAATGAGTCATTGGTGCAAATATTAATTGGGTCTTGCACACACACATGCACGCATGCATGCACGCACACACAAGCACACACGAACACACACACAAGCACACTCACACATAGGATCACACACAATCAATCAAGTTTATTCTCTATAAGGATTACAATGCGGGGTTTACAGATTTTGGATATTGTGTGGCTTACATGTTTTAAAATACTAATTACAGAGGGGGCCACTAGGACACCTAGCATGGTTAGGCATTTCGGGCAGACTTAGATTAGTTTTAAACTTTAACTTATTACAGATTATGGTATTAAGGCTAAGTGACTACATTATAGTTTGTGAGTTTAGCAATGTGAATGCTTTTGTTTTGGCACAATACATAGTGTCTATATTGGAGTATCATAGGCAAACTTATGACTAGTTAGGATTCATTATTTTAAGATTAAGATTCGTATTTCTGTGTTTATAGTCAATGGGTGAGTGAGTGTAAGTGTGAACCACCAGGTGGTTTACATGTAGTTAGTTGACGGGGTGTATCAGGGAGATAAGATGTTTTCTAACTGTAGTTATCAAGAAAGCATTTTAGGTCAAGGTTAATATTGGAATTTAAGGTCCTGTAGATGTAGATTGCACAGTAGTAAGTGTGGATGTTCTGAACAGGGAGTAAGTTTAGATCTATGAAGAGTGGGGGGGGGGGGTGTTGCCAGGGATGGGATTTAGTGATTATTCTTACTGCAGCTTTTTGTTGGGTTATTATTGGCTTTAGATGTGTTGCTGCAGTTGATCCCCAAGCACAAATAGCATAGGTGAGGTATGGATAAATGAGTGAATGGTATAGTGTGAGAAGGGCAGTTTGCGGCACGTAATATCATATCTTGGAGTGGATCCCCACCGTTTTGGATACTTTTTTTGTTATGTGTTGGACATGGGTGCTGAAATTTAGGTTGTTGTCGAGGTATAGACCTAGGAATTTGCCCTCATTATGTCTGGCAATTAGAGTGTTGTCGATCTTAATGTTAAGTTGGGCAACACCTGCTCTGCTACCAAACATAATATAGTAGGTTTTGTCAGTGTTAAGTGTGCTCGTGAGTGTGCACACAAGTGTGCACATTCACGAGCACACACGAGGAGCTATGTATTGACCCCTGAAAGCCAAATAGGCGAGTACACACACACACACACACAAAGCGTAAATACAAACGAGCACACACACACAAACACATGAGCACACAAATACACATCAGAAAATGCCACATTTCTTACAAGAAGTTTTAGCAGAGACATCCTTTATAATCACTATTATCAGAATATGGTATCCAAAACAACCTTAGACTGAGATATTCTTTATTTTTATTTTTACTGTTTGTTCATCTAAGCACAATGAACAAGGTAATTAACTGGAACAAGGCCCATTTGCCAAGCAGAGCAAATGCTGTCCTCCTGGAGGAAGGAACAAATTCAATGCCCACCTAAGCAAAAGCAGAGATAACCAAGCAGAGCTTGGTCTGCATTGTGTCCCTGAGCTAGCAAAGGGAATGCTGGTATGCATATACAGTGGAACCTCAGCTTAATAATTTAATCCGTTCCGTGGCCTCCTTCGTATCCTGATTTCTTCATATGCCGAGTCAATTTTCCTCATTTAAATTAACTGAAAATCTATTGATCCACTCCAGCAGAATTCTTGCTCTCACAAGACACGCAAAATACATTTCAATATGACGCTAATATCAATTCTATGGCTTATTTATCAATCACAATTCATCTCATACGACATAATAAACAATATAAATACAGTGGACCCCCGGTTAACGATATTTTTTCATTCCAGAATTATGTTCAGGTGCCAGTACTGACCGAATTTGTTCCCATAAGGAATATTGTGAAGTAGATTAGTCCATTTCAGACCCCCAAACATACACGTACAAATGCACTTTCATAAATACACTTACATAATTGGTCACATTGGGAGGTGATCGTTAAGCAGGGGTCCACTGTAACATAGAAACATGATATATACTCTAGAATGAATAAAATAAGCCATAATATGGCCAGTGATGGTGGCAGCAGCGGCAGCATCCTCCATTTACTCTCCCACTGACTATAGTATTTTCCCATGCTCTTATAAGAGAAAACAGTGTTTGTAAGGCTAACTGCACTAGTTCACAGTTTCACAAGGAAAACGCTGAAACAATGTATGTACGTAAATTATAAATCAGAAATAGAGAATGTAATAAAGTGATTATTGTCTGTATAATATAGTACAGGTCCTCCATCACAAATCCGGCATCATTGGGACCTGTAGTGTGCCGGATTACTGAGTTTGCCGGATTACTGAGTGGTTAGGTTAGAATACACTTAATAAAATTAACCAACTTGACTTGCACAAAGTTCATTGAAAATCGGCAAAAATCGAACATTTCCGCTTCTTTGAGCTCAATTTCAAGGTACTTTTCGTCATAAAAGCAATCAAAATCGTGTCTATTTCTGTAATATATCTTCCATTCTATCAAACAAGTCCAAAAAAATGAGAATACAACCATAAAAACCATACGAAAATATACTGCAAAGAGGCGGCTAATGGCTGAGAAGTGAACTCCCTTATTTATCGTCTGTCTTTTTTTATTTTTGTTGTACGTTAAGAAGCATCTTTCCATCATACATTGCCCAAGTTTCAATGAACCGAGAAAAAAAATATTTACCAAAAGTCATATATGGCAAGCCCAGGCCAGGTACTGGAAATAAGTCACTTTGT